TGGGTACACCTCAGTCACTCTGTCCCTGCTACCCATGACAGTCCCTTGAATGTTTGGTGATGTGTGTGTGAATCATAAGCTATTAGAGCTAGATGGGACTTTAAAGATCTTCTAGTTCAAATTAAGAGATAAAAAAGCTGAACCTCAGAGGGCTGCCACCTCCAAACTATATTATTTAAACTGACACCCTGTGCCACCTAGTTAAACGTGTTGCTGTGTTTTCCTTGACAGATGAGAAGATGCTCCTGTGCAGTGTGGGCTCAGGTGAAAGGTAAAATCACTTTCTGCCTGTGAATGCTGTCCTTATTTCTCCTTTGTCCATTCTGCAGCATCAAGGTTATATTAATGAGATCTCTTTTTAAAATTGTCACAAGCAACAGAAACCCACCTCATACTAGCTTAAGCAAGGCCGTAGCTAAAAAGGATAGGGTTAGGTGGGAGCTTATGGAATTAGAGAGCTGCACCACCCGGATTCCAGAACTGGGAACTGGGACTCAGGACTCAACACCATGAGTGGGGTTCCCCTTACTACCTGTCTCTTGTTTCTGCTGTCTGTTTCTAAGTGTGAGTTGGCCTCATATTCTTCTACAGGCCATGTGATGGGGAGAGAGGGCAGGCTGCCCCGGCTTAGCAACTTCAGTGGGAACAGAAAGTTTTGCAATTTGGGGAAAGACTCTTTCTAGGTTAAGTGATCATCCACTGGATGAATCACTGTTAATAGGAGATGGGGTACTGTGATCAGCCTACCTTGGGTTTTGTGCTTACTCATGGCTGGTTGGGGGCAGAGCAGTGTGACTGACAGCTCCACTAGGGTTGCACTGAGAGGGGGATGATCAAGAAAAGAGGCAGAGGAAGGCATGCTGACAGACCAAAACAAGAGCCACAGCAGTATACTACCTCCTGTCATTTGGCTGCATATCATGTGCCCACACATGTAATAAAGAAAAACATCATCACTAACAAAATGGAACTATTCTATGCACAATAAAAAAAAAAAAAAAAAAAAGGA